CGATCCATAGACCTGTAGACTAGAAGGCTAGCTGCAGTCCTTCTAGAAGGTTGGCAAGTGGTCAAGTGGTGCAGGCAAGTGGGCAAGTGGTGCAGGCAAGTGGGCAAGTGGTGTGACTAAAGCAAGCCCATGTTGGAGACGAGGACAAGTGGCAAGGTCAAATAGTAGGACCCCGGTGCAATTGCACTGCGTCGTAGGGTCGTCGTCATACAGTAAAGGGAGAGTCTAGAAAGTACCAGTCCGGTCCAGCAAGTACCACGGGGGGAACTGTGTGCACCATGGGCCAGGGACACAGGGCAGACCAATGCAGCACAGAAGTATAAATCAAGAGGCTGCGTCCATTCATTCATTCATTCCTGCGGATGCCAGGCGGAAGCGCTGCCTTAGCAGCTTGTGCGAGGCGGTCTGCAGTGCGCCCGAAGACGAAGTGGGCAGMGAAGTGTAGTGTAGCGATAGGGTAGAGGCAGCTAGCGCTGCCATAGCGGTAGCATAGTGTGTGTGATCCAGAGTGCGAACAGTGAGTTGTGTGGGCGCCCCGTCGCCATAGCCAGTTGAAGAGAACTCATATCTGGTTACGATATCTTGAGTACTGTGTGGGCGCATGTCGCCAGTTGCTGTACCGCTGTTTGCGAACAGTGAGTTGTGTGGGCGCCCAGTCGCCATAGCCAGTTGAAGAGAACTCATATCTGGTTACGATATCTTGAGTACTGTGTGGGCGCATGTCGCCAGTTGCTGTACCGCTGTTTGCAGGCATGACAAAGTGGGAAGAAGACGAGTTTGATTTCAGTTATTATTATTATTTTTTTTTTGTTGAATAAGATTGCAGGAGATAAGGAAAGGAGATTGGTTGGCGAGAGAAGGGGGATTTGACATTGGTCTTTTGCTGTTGTACGTCTTCTTCTTCTTTTTCTTTCTTTCTTCTTTCTTCTTTCTTCTTTCTTCTTCTTGCTTTGCCTCTTTCTCTTTCAAGTTCTTTCATATCTTTTGAAACTGGATGACATTGTGTTTCCTTACGTATTGCACTAAGGAATTGGCTAGCATCGTAGCGAAGTTGGCTTTTCAGCTGCGTTCTGCCAGTGTTTACTAGCAAGCCTGATATTGTTGTCACTTACAATGTTTTTTGGTAATCCAAAGTCCTGAATCCACTTGTTAGCTAAGTTGTTTGTTCAGCCGCCCGAGCACCCAAGTCATGTAGGATACATACCCGGATGAGCGGTCGGGCATAAGCCCCTGGCACAGTTCTAGGCAGTCCCAATGCAAAAAAAAAAAAAATCAACAAATTCCAAAAAAAAGAAAAAGAAATATTGTGTAGAATTGCAATACAAATGACTTTTGACTGAGCATCACATCAAAATTCCTCACAGAATCGAAGAATAAACAGAATCAAACTAAGACACCCCCCTTTAAACCTTTTTAGGCCGTTAGACAACAGTTTATACCCCCCTTCCCCCCCCTTGACAGCCAACACTTGAAAAAAGGCTAATACGAGTGAAATCCTTTTAGGGTAATCGAATGGAGGTTGAAACACAAATCATGAGTTCAGATCCTCATGGAATTAGAAAATGGTAAATACAATGTAGTTTACGGCTACTGACTTGAGAAAATCAGAAGACAAAAAAAGACAAAAGAAATATAGATTCCTGTGTTTGTTTCAGAAATGAAAGATGATAGGTTTCTTACCAATGTAGTGAAATTGCCATCGCAGGAACACCATGTATAACTGCCTCCCTCGCACCAGCTACCGTTCCAGAATAAAACCTGAGAGATCCCCCAAGCACAATAGTCACAATTCCAAGAATAAAGGAAGAACCATTAGGATCATACATTGCCACACATGCACAAACGATACATGTGATATTTGGGGTCTAGAAATAGAGCGGTTGCTGAGGGCCTATTGCGCATTGGACATGGGATATAAAGGACAAGGGACTTTGTGGGTATGGAACATGAGATTCAAGGGACAAAGGACATGGGGCTCATGGGACACTGGACTCGAGGGCCAAGACTCAAGGGACACTTAGCGCATCGAACTTGAGGGACATGTGACTTTGGGGATGTGGGACTCGAGGAACATGGGAGATATGGGTGGTAAACAATATATGAACAGCATGTGGGGCATGGGACTTTGGGGATGTGGGACTCGAGGAACATGGGAGATATGGGAGAAGTTTGCGAGACATAATATGAAAGGAAACTAGGAATGGAACAAAGATAGGATCTGGTTCATAACGCAAGACGAGGCATACATGAAGCATGGGAAGGTGGGAAAAGTGGCCCTAGACAACGGACTTATATGACGAGATATGGAACGAGAAAGCATGGAATAAATGACTGTCAAAAATAACTTCAAATAAGCTTATGAACAGGAAATGAGAAATGGGAGGACTAGATGTGAAACATCCACCAAGCCAGAGGTTAGGAAAAGGGTCCCTGTTTTGGCACATCCCTACCACTTGTGTACTGGGCAAGATTTGATCCCCGGTCTGATAGGACCGACTTTTAGGGAAGTATTTTACAGTGCATATGCTATGTCATAAACCTCGACCTGTTGGACTGTAGGGTGGTAGTCCAGTACAGAGTTGGCAACTGCGATTTTTGGGAATACTTGTACCCAACCTAACCTACTGGATACCTGGCCCACCGAACCTTTACCCATTTGTACCTGCTCCAAAAGAAAAAGAAGTGTACCCATACATACCCTACCTGAACCTCTTCAGACTGTAACTGCCCATACCTGCTCATGGACTTTTTTTTTTCAAAACCACCATGGCCACCTGAACCCAAACTGTTCGTTAACCACCCGTACCCTACGCAGCCCAGGTATTCTTTACCCGTACCCACCCACAATTGTATGCACCCACCCATAATGGCCACGCCGGTCTCCTGAGCCCTGACGCTTGCTGCGGCTGCCGATCACAACTGCAATGCGCTCCTGCTGGGTGACACCTGCGACGCCGACCATGGAAGTTGTGGAGGATGGACAATTACGGGTAGTGAGGAGGATGACCGGTGGGGACGTGAACAACGGGCGGAGACTCCGAGGAGTGGTGGGAACAGGGAATAGAAAGGGGTGGGAGGCAATGGGCCTCGCTCCACTACTCACGAAATGTTCAAAATGAGAATGAATCTTCCGCTGGAACATGGAAAGATACACCGTCTTTTTGTTCTTTGCATTTCATGAGTAGTGGAATGAGGCCCACTCGAAAGGCCCAACTCGAATTCGGGAAACTTTTGGACTTTCAACAACGTAGTGGCCTGGCGGCGTGGGGAAAAAAAAATTTAGTTGTTTGGGACTTTTGACGAGACGGCGGGCGAAAAACAATTTGGCCTAGAACTTGTGGTGGCCGGGRGRGGGGGGSGGRGGGAGGGGGGTGGCTGGGTGGCTGGGTTGGGGGGTTGGAATGGGTAGGTACCAGGTATTCCACAGTTAGGAACCTCTACCCATCGTTACCCATACCAGTTTTTTTTGTTGCCACCCGTACCTGCCCATACCCGTTCTATTTTTCTTTTTTGGCTGCCCATATCAGGTTTTTTTTTTTGTCCCCGCCTGCCCCTACCTTCCCCTACCCGCCCATGATCTCCATAAGGGGAATTGTGCCTGCCCTAACAACAGCCACTATTTCTTTTGCGTGCCCATACCAAATTCCCCCTTCGAAAGGGGCACCCAGCCCCACCCGTAACCTGGCGGTTACAGTTGGGTATGGTCAGGTACGGGCAACCGTTATGCGTTTGCCCTCTCTGGTCCAACATCAGTAAGCTAGCAATGGCCAGGCAAAATGGCCTTAGCAAAAACTGTTTTGCAAAAAAACTCAACTCAACTGTTTGTACTCATTCAGACAGTTTCAAAGTCAAGCATTTTGCTTATCATATAGTGACAATGCGATGTGGATGTAATCAGAGCTACTTGTTTATGTAAAGATAATCGTTTTGCTCATGTTTGTTGTATCTTCCCATGTTGCACATCAGCATTATTACAGTAACAACTCAACAGTACTATGTCAAAGGGCTTGCAGCTGAAACTAACATCATTGCAAGGAAGATGATCATTAGCGAACTTCAGCAATCATACAGCATCATACATATGAGTCCAGATAGTCTTGACCTCGAACCACAGCAGAATTACATCACGAGATACACCAAATAAGAACACACCAAGAGTTCAAAATTGACAATGCTGAAGTAGTCCCATCATCATCAACGAAGAACCAGAGTTGATATCCTATTGGCGCTCGGCGCCCAGACTACATGTGGCAGATCCTATCTAGCCTATACTACGAAGCAGAATGATGACATCAACAGCGTTCCCGAAGTATGAGCATATGGCGACCAATGTCGCCCGCTCCAGCACCAGGTATGTCTTGCGTTACACTCACAACCCCGATCCACACCGCACAGATGCCACTAGCACCCAACGACCACCCTGCGCTTCACCCAGCATACAGCAGCGCAGCTTGGCTATGGCTGCGTGCTCCCTCCCTACTCGCCCGTGAGAGCGTGAGTGCCAGCCAGCCAGCAGATAGCGCACCAGCGCTCGCGCAGCATGCAGCCAGCACCCGAATGCCGAATGAGAGGCAGGCCCTTCCCTATATCGAAGTGGCCTGCCTGTGTCCAGTCCAGGAAGCTTCCAGTAGGCCCCGGTAGGCTGAGGCCCAGTCACGAGGAAAGAAGGCCTTGGGCCTGAAGTGGTTGCATGCGCCCAACTGCTTTCGGCCTGTGTTCGGCCCGGTACCTAAATCCAGCCCAAGGCCTGTTCTTCGTACATTCACACAGGCAGCCCAGGGCCTGGGTTCATTCAACCAACTGGCGCTGCGCAACTGCCTGAATTTTCCCCAATGCAGGGTACCCTGAAAAACGAGGCCTGAAGGCCTTGTCGTGCCTGCCTTCACTTAGGGCGGCCGACCTTGCTGCAATTAGGGCCCCGTAGGGGCTAAGCGGGCGTAGCCTCGCATTCCCTCCTCCATATCTTCGTCAGTCCTCTGGGAAGATCAATCCTGAGCCATCTGGCGCTTTCCTTTCAATACATCCTTCTGATAGCGGGCAACGATTTGAGGAGCGGTCTGCATCAATTCCTCCCGAGTAAACCAGCGGTCCTCTTTCGGATCCGTGTGATGTCTGAAGTGGACACGAAACTGCAGTTTTGGCTTTGGAGGACGTCCCCTTCCTGGAGGCTTCTGAACGGGCATCTCCCTGTGGTCGACGATATCATCAATGTCGAATTCTCCGTCCATGGTTGGGGGCAGCATTGACCGACGGGAGGGAAACTGATCAGTTTCCTCGGACGCAGCGAGCTTAGAGGCATGAAAGACAGGGTGAGTTCTGAGATGACCAGGGATACGGATGACATATGATGGACCATCAGGATCTGTCCCAACTACATCTAGAACTTCCCAAGGTCCAAAGTACTGAGGCATGAGTTTGCGGGATATCCCGAACTCCTGTCCCAGTTCTGAAGACTTAACCCAGACTCTGTCCCCAACCTGAAATGTAGAAGGGCGGTGGTGTCTATTCTCAGACTCTATCATTGCTGCCTG